TACTAATTTTAACTACATCTAGACTCTTAAAATTATTTTTATACAAATATAAAATGACTTTCAATGAACTTGAGTTAGGTGTTTTTTGTTTGAATCATCCAGATATATCCTTCAAATTCCTGCTCCCTTTGTGGTGATCTGATTTAATAGTATTATTTGTTTTTAGAATCAGTACTGAAAGCTGCTGCTGGATTAATACCAGTTCTGAAGAGGGTTACAGCTGGATCATGTATCCTACAGTATGCTTGCTTCTATTCACATTTCTGCCAAAACCTGAAGAGAAGCCACAGAAATAGAAAATGAGAGTTTATTTTTTGAATAAACTGGCTTCTGTTACAACATAAGACCTAACACCAGGCCTCTCAGGATTTTTTTTTAGTGGCAAATCTGCATCTAAGATTTAAAAAGCATAGTTTGCTTTAATGGAAAAAATATTAATTGTTTATTAAACAAAGCAGTCATATATGTTGCTTTGTATAATAAAAATAGTTTAACCATTGGAATGACAACCTATCTCCCTGATACGCAGACTCAGTTTCTCTTACTTTTCAATTTCTTCGAAAAGTGAGCATTTTTATCTGATTTTGTAAGATGAGATATTCCAAGATAAACAGCCAGTAAAGTACACATTAATGAAGCTCTATTGGGCACTACTTCTATTTCCAGCACCATTTTGAATAGGAGTAGTTCCTTGTTGCTGGTCCTAGGGGTAAAAAGTCTAGTTCCTCATCATTAAGTATGTAGTTAATTGTGTAATTTTTTGTTTGCAGATTTTTTAAATTGATTGAGCAAGATTCTCTCTGGTTTGCTGACAATTTTTTGTCATGAATTGATACTAGCTTTTGTCAACTGCCTTTATGTGTCAATTGATATGAGCATATGATTTTTACTTTTTAGCTGGTTGTTATATAAATTACATTGATTGATTTTTGAATGTTGAACCAACCTTGTATACTTAGAATAAATTCCACTTGATCATGTTTGTTTTATGTGTTGTTGAATTCAATTTGTAGTATTTTGTGGGGAATATTTACATCTTTGTTCATGAGATATATTGGTCTACAGATTTACTTTCTTGTAATGTTTTCATCTGGCTTTGCTATTGGAGTAATGCTGGTCTGATAGAATGAATTGTAAGTCTGGATACTCTAACTCACAGAGAGTAACTTACTCAACCAGTACTGCTTTCTCTAATGAGCTGTAAGTTAAGATACTCTAGCAGTCTCTGTCTAGTTTTTGGAGGAGATTGTGGAGAAACGGGATTTCTTCTTTTTGAAATGTTTGGTAGAATTCAACAGGAACAGGGAATCCCCAAGTTACTCTTGAAGGGTCTTTAAGAATCACTCCAACATGGCCCTGAATGTTACACTCAGATGTATATGAAAGTGAAATATTTATTATACTCACAGGTCTTAGGGACCACTGTCATGGCACACCATACAGGGAGCCATGTGGGAGGAGCTCCCAGAATGGACTTAACCAAGCAGGCAGGGAGAAATGGGGGTGGAGTGGAGTGGGAAGGAGAATGAATGAACATCTACCTGTGGTTAAGTGTTCTTATTGGGGACCAGGGGGATTTCACAAGCAAAGGACATGAGGGAATTTTATTGGTGTGTTGAATGTCCTTAGGTCATGTCAGAGGAGGGCAGGAATTTTTAATTTGTGGTAGTGACCAACTGTGTAGCACCTGAGTGGAGTGTTTACAGGATGTTTGTGGGGGTGTTGAGGCTTTAGAAAAGTATAAAGTTTGAAAGATTTATGGTGCAAAGATCATCCAGACTTGACACTTGTTGGGAAGATATTAGTAAGTATTGATTTAATTTTTTTCATATATATAGGCTGTATTATCCATTTCTCCTTGTGTGAGTTTTTGGCACCTGTATCTTTTAAGGAATTGATCCATTTCCTCTAAGTTAGTGAAGTTGTGAACATAGACTTGTTCACAGTGTTTGTCTCTTATGCTTGTAATACCCGTGAGATCTGTAGTGATGAAAACTCTTTTAATTCTAATATTGATAATTTCTGTCTTCTCTCTTTTTGACTTGGTTAGCCTAGCCTCTATTTTGACAGTTGTTAAATTAAAAGAATGGCGATCATTAAAAAATCTGGAGACAACAAATGCTGGAGAGGATGTGGAGAAAAAGGAACACTTTTACACTGTTGGTGGGAGTGTAAATTAGTTCAACCATTGTGGAAGACAGTGTGGCGATTCCTCAAGGCCTTAGAAATAGAAATTCCATTTGACCCAGCAATCCCATTACTGGGTATATATCCAAAAGACTATAAATCGTTCTACTATAAGGACACATGTACACGAATGTTCATTGCAGCACTGTTTACAATAGCAAAGACCTGGAATCAACCCAAATGCCCATTGATAATAGACTGGATTGGAAAAATGTGGCACATATACACCATGGAATATTATGCAGCAATCAGAAATGATGAGTTCGTGTCGTTTGTAGGGACATGGATGAATCTGGAAAACATCATCCTCAGCAAACTGACACAAGAACAGAAAATGAAACACTGCATATTCTCACTCATAGGTGGGTGATGAAAAATGAGAACACATGGACAGAGAAAGGGGAGTACTAAACATTGGGGTCTATTGGGGGGAAAAGGGGAGGGCCAGTGGGAGGGGGAGGTTGGGAGGGATAGCCTGGGGAGAAATGCCAAATGTGGGTGAAGGGGAGAAGAAAAGCAAAGCACACTGCCATGTGTGTACCTACGCAACTGTCTTGCATGCTCTGCTCATGTACCCCAAAACCTATAATCCAATAAAAAATTAAAAAAAAAAATTCAATTTTCTTAATAGTTATAAGGCTATTTAAGCTACATATTTCTCTTTGTGTAAATTGTGGTAGGCTTAGTTTTGTAAGGAATTGTTTCCTTACCTCGGAGTTGTCAAATCTACATTTGTGGAGCTGTTTGCAGTATTTGCTTATTATTATTATTACTGTCATTATTATTTATGTCTTCAGGGTCTGAGTGAATATTCTCCTGTTTTATTCCTGATATGAGTAATATGTGTCGTCTTCTTTTTTTTTTTTGGTTAGTCTTGCTAGGGTTCATCACTTTTCTTGACTATTTCAAAGAATCTGCTTTTGTTTTTGTTGTTTTATCTAGTTTTTCTGTTTTCAATTTCATTAGTTACTTCTCTAATTTTTACTATTTATTTTCTTGTGCTTGTTTAGGCTTTTTCTTCTTCGTTCTTTAGTTGCCCGTAATAGAATCTAGATTATTGATTTTCCATCTTTCACCTTTTTATTGTGTAGATTTAGTGTTGTAAATTTCTCACTAAACACTGCTTTACTGTACACACACATTTCTGATAAGTTGTATTTTCATTTAATTTAAAATATTTTAAGGTTAGAATAGACACTTTTGAAATATTAAAATTGCAATGCAGAAGCAAACATTTTGTATACAGATATTTTCGGGTTTCTGAGAGTACCCAAGAGTTGCAGTCTCCTTTTTGGGATGTCCTAGGGTTATCAGTAATGATACTTTCTCATGCTACCTACTATAATCTGTTTTGCTGACAAGTTGCAAGTTGGACAGCTATGTTCAGAAGGTCATACCACTGTGAATTCAGTAAGACCAGAGAATTTAAACTGTGTCCCAATGCTTAATGGCAGAAAAATTTCTCCTTCTAAAGGAAACCTTTGGTTAAAATGGTCAATGAGGTGAAATCAATCATTTTGTGCCAAACAGCTTCAAGAGGAAATACACTCCATGAGAAATCATGATAGAGACAGATTTTCTAAGTCCCATAATCATCCCTAAATGTTTCCTTATTCATCTTTTATACTCCCTCCGAGCCCTAGTAAGAGTTTATAAACTAAGTGTTGTTTCGCAGAAGGACATATATTTCCTTAGCACATACTAAATGCCTAATCCTGTGCAAGGTGCTCTGAGAGATGCGTAAATGAAGTAACAACACTCATTAGAAACGACAGTCTTGCTGGGTGAAAAAGACTATCACCAATAAGACAACTAGTGAGAAATGTAAGTCACTATGTAATTAAGCCCTGAGTGGTTAAGTGATGACTGTAAATACCATCCAAGTTTCATGTGAAATTGTTCACAATGTCCCTTTTACCTAAGGGGAGTGTAGAAATAGAATTTGTTTAATAGATTAGTCAAGAGCATCTCATTAGTTGCTGTTATTGGAAGGGACAGAAAATGAGCGGAAACTAAAATACCCATGTAATTAATAAACATAGAAATAGCTCAGGTCACTGACCGTGCAAATTATTTTTAATCTGAAGGCATATCAATTCCTTTGATTTTGTCTCCTTGGATGAGTTCTGGAATGTGATCTCCACTGGAGTGGAAAATAATAATTTTTGACTGAATTCCAGAAAGGAATGCTTCCCTGCCTTGTTCTGTGCCTGTGCCTCTGTGTGTGTGTGTGCACGTGCACACACATATGTCCACATACACACATACATGCCCAAGGGGGCAGTAAGATCCATTGCTTTATGTTCAAATAAAATGCTTGACTATCTATAGTGTTAAAATGGAGAAGGGTGTCTTTCACCAAAAACCTGTTTCTTCACATCACAAGCCTAATGAGCTATGAGGTATATCCCTGAGGCAGGAAGAAGGCTGAGGAAGATGGGTAAAACTCAGAATGGGTGCCCTTGGCTAAAACCCAGAATGGCGCTGATCAAATATCTGGGGCAAGCATGTAATGATCTGCAGGTAACTCCATGCTGATGGTTTTCCACTCAGGTAGACTATTGCGACAGTCCCTTATTATCTCTCATGTTTTTCAAACTAAAGTCATTTATATATTGCTTTAATGACATTTGCCACATCTATGTACTACTCATATAATAAACATATCCTTTATGTCATAAAATATTGAATACATTTTTTATTAGTAGCACTAGTACAGGGCATTTTATGTTACTTCTACAAATGTGTAAAAACCTATATTGTATTTCCTTCATAGTAGACATTCATTTTAAAAGGTTTTTTTTTTCTTCCAGGAATGTTTGAATGAAAATAACCAAAGTATTCAAAAACACACAGAATCAGTTCATGTTCCATTAAAACACTGGGAAATATGTACATACAGGTAAGGTCTTCATTATCACAGTGCAGAGAGCCTCCATGTTCTGGTCCTGGTTTCTCTTTAGCTTCATCTCTTTCTGAGCCATGTTTTATACCCCATTGTTTAGCTTGCTGGAATAATACAAATAATTCATGTTTCCCCCAATCCACTCTATTTTTGACATCTAGCTCACAACAATTCCTAGGTGTCAGGAAACAGTTCACTCCTTGGTTCACCTAAAAAATATCTGCATCTCTTTTAGACATTAGCTGGAGCATCATCTTTTCCCTGAAGCTTTTACTGATACTCTAAAGTAAATTTCTTTTTTTGTGTGTACCCTATAACATGTAAATAACCTTCTTTGTTTTGAGGTCTCTTTTTGTCTACTAGATTACAAATGCTTTCTCCTATCTTGAATAAACCAAAGTAGAATAGCTGATTGACTCCATGGAGTGATCTCTTTGTTAGCTCCACAATTAATGTTTCTGCAAACTTGCTCGAACCTGACGTTCTGTAAAAACAGGTACAACTCTTTTCTTTAAGAAACTGTGTTTGCTCTTGAAGTTCAATTGCACCTGATACTGAAATTACTCAAGCATGCTAAGGTGTTTTTAGATCCATGTAAAGGTTTTTTGCACCCTTTCCTAAAAATAAGTCTTGAGAGATGAGGATTGGGAGAGATGCAGAAATGTGAGCACTGAGGGGAAGATAGCACCAAAGAGACATAACACATTATAGAAAGAGATTGTCCATTCTGAGAGTTTGCCATATAGGCCAGTATACTGGTGGTTTCAACCAGAGTATATTACAGCAGTACAGAGAAGCCTAGGTGCTGGGTAAATTGTTATTCTCTCTGTATGAGGAAAAGGATTTATTTTCTCATCCAACCTTAGGATAATGGCTGAGATCCCTATATCAAAAGACAGAATAGCAAGAGGAAAGCATATAAATATATTTAATATAAGTTTTATGCAGCATAAGAGCCTTCATGAAGAAATGAAGTCCCTAAGAAACAGGGAAAACTGTGTGTTTTATACTAAATTTGGTGAAGAAGTAAATGGTTGTGGAGAAGTGTGAATTGAAATAAGGAGTGTTATCTCATGGTAATAAAACTGAAGAGAACTTAGCAGGCTTGTTTGTTTAAATTCTTATCTGTGCCCATGTGTCTTCTAAGATAAAGGTAGAGGGAGTGCACTCTCAAATAAGAATCTTATGACCTGCTTCAGCGGAAGGTCAGAACATTCTAGTATGGCCTGCTTCAGGGGAAAAGGGGAGTAGAAGATCACAGAGACCTTCCTGTTTCTGCTATTTTCTCAAATCCAAGGAGCTACATCTTGAGGTAGTGTATTTTGATAGTTCCCATCATCTCCATGCCCATCTTGGCTTAATTCCAGCTCCAGAGTACAAATGGGTGTGGGGGTAGAAAAAATTTCATGAAAAAAACATACTGGGCTAGTAGGAAATGAACCATAGCATAAGAAGTGCTACATATCCTAAGGAAACTCAGTTCTTGATCTTTTGATAAATAGAAGAAATAGTATTCACTGAAATTGACCTAAAAGGCAAAGATGTGATGCCATGAGATGTCAAAGATGCTCATTGTTTTTAGATATGCATAGTCACAAGCTTCTATGGAGGAGGAAGAGAATAGAAAAAAAGAAAAATATGATATATTGGAAAAATCTAAAAATAATTTCACTGTGCCATAGCTGAAGATTGCTACAAGTCCATGAAATTGAACTAACATTACAGCAAATAGCCTGTGCACTCTTCAGCATGATTTTCTCAGATCTCTGGCAGAAGGAAGTAATTCTGGTACTCAGTTGAGAGTTGGAAGGTGGAACACTTCCAATTTAGAGCAAACTCTTAGGTCTGTTTGCCACATGTTGTTTTTTTAATAGTCATTTAATTTTGGTGAAACAGCTTTGTGGAACTATGGAGGTGTCTCCTGTCTGTCTCTTAGCTTGCCTCTTTGAGATCATTAATTTTCACAGATAAAATAAGATCCTGGTATGTCATAGAACATATTTAAAACATCTAAATTGTTTTTACAATGAAAAGAAATAGAGCCAAACTTCCAGAGGCAAAATTTATCCCCCAAATTAAGGTGATTGTGACTATTTTATTTCTTTAGACAAATTTATTCTCTTTATATAAAACATAAGACATTGCATTAGATACCTGATAGGCACACGAGGAAGGGTTTTCTTTTAATTAGAAGACTATGTAAGCCTGTGGCAGTTATTCCTAGTTGTTACGGAGATTATATTTCTCTTCAATTTTAAGAATTTTGAACAAAGTGATAAAAATTGTAGAATTTATAACTTTGCATAGAAATATCTATTTCAGTAATCTGAAACTAGAAATGCTCTACATTTTAGAAACAAATATCTAAATTAGTGAAAAATCCTGAAAGTAAAAGTTTGCTTACCATCACTGCAGGGGAGCCCGCTGTCATAATTATATCTTATTTGGTCTTTAACTTGGGGAGTCCTATTCATTATCTTTGGAATGTCACATACATGATTCTCTGAGGATACAATCTAATGAAAATAACACCCAGACATGTTGTGTTATTTCTGCCCCTTCCTTCCTTACCAATTCAAGTTTCTAGTTACAAATAGCAACTACACTCAAGTGTGTTTCTTCCCTTTCAGCAGCTAGTAGCATCTAATTTTACCTGTTTGCAATCAAAACCTAAACAATGAAAAGACAGCATAATTTTAAGAACAATTGTATTACGTTTTTATATTGTAGACTGAATACACCAGGTTCCCATTTCTACTACTGTAGTTTATACATGAAGTTCAATACAAAAATCATGAAGTTATTTAAAAAATTCAATATCTGCCTCAACTATGAGTTTCAGATAAGCATATTTTGAGATTGCTCAAGCATTAACTTAGACCTACACCTTGCTTGGACAATATTTTACAGTATTCTACTTCTTTTTTTGGCAAATTACTTGTAATTTATTATTATTACATACAAGAGCCCATATAATGCTATAAAACACAGTTAAGTAGTTAAGTAGAGCTTATTTAAAAACAATTTGTGTTATAAAAATCATACTTTAAATTCCATCCTTTTGAGATATGTGAAATCTGAACTCCTATGTGTCTGAAAAGCTCAATACTGTGACAGATTGTGTGTGTGTGTGTGTGAGAGAGAGAGAGAGAGAGAGAGAGAGAGAGAGAGAGAGAGAGAGAGAGAGAGAGAGAGAGAGATTGGTGTGGGAAGACAATGGACAGTTTGGAATGAATTCTCATGCACGCATGGCCTGATGGGAGCATTAAATTCCTAGGCACCTTAGAGTACCTTCCTTCTTTGCATTCAGACTTTGTAAGATTTCCCTAATTTTTTTCAGAGGAGAAATAATTTGTTTTTCAATTTCCAAGACAGCCAGAATGATGCAAAATCCCAGTGGTACTTTAGCATGTGAACAAAGAGAATGACATAGAGACAGCAGCCCTTCATCATATCTTGTGCTTTATTGTGTGCTACATGGCATGAATATAATCGTTGTTTTACTAAATTATAAGCGTGTTTTCCATACAGGGAAATGTGCAGGCAAGCAGTCATTTGACATAGCTGAAGTATAGATACATAAAAATGATACAATGTATCTAGCATAGATGTGGAGCTATGGCTCATAGGAGGAGCCTCAAGATATGCAAGGATTCCCCAGGAACCACTTAGCAAAGTAAAAAGCTTCCAGGAGGTTTTCATTTCAGCAACACTGCCAGCAAACACCTACCATCCCAGCCCCCTATTTTTTGTGTGTGTGTGAAATTATAACTTCAAATTCCAAGCACCTGGGAAATTCCCAGGGGTTGAGCTGGAACAGTTGAGGCCCAGAACTCCTCTTGCAGTTCTCCAGGAATAATACTCTGTCCTGAGAATCTGAACTCCGGAAAAATCCAGTTCTTCACCATCCCCACATCTGTCTACACATACTCAAGCATGCCAGAAAAATAAAACCCACAAAAAGGGGACCTGGGTGCCACTTTGAATCTGGTCACTTGTCCTTAAGGGGCTTTTAACACTGCACAGAAATTCTAATGACATTTTTTGTTAGCTTGCTTCCCCGCTCCCTGAAACAGCAATTTAAAATATTTTCTACTCAATTCACATCTGCAATTTTCTTTCTTCTCAGTCAGCAGATGTCCTACCTCACAGAAAATTAAAACAGAAACTATGAAAACAAACCACCTCAACTTCCTTCCATCATAGCTACAAATCTATCTGCTTGCCCCTTTCCTTTTCTTCTTTTCTCCTGGTACAAAGTAATAAGTGTCCTTTTCCCCAAGTTACTTCTCATCTGGATATACTCACCAGTCTCCAGGAAGCAAAGTTAGGCCCTGCCCCACTGTGGTCTCTTTCCTGGATTACAGCAGAGGCCCACTCGACGGCATTTTGGCCCTTGGCCCTCCTTCTGTCCCGGCCCTCAGCTCCACTTCCCAACTTACAGACAGAGTGAGCATGTAAACCTAAATGGGGTTATATGATTGCCCTCTGCTAAACCTTCTGGTATAGGCAATTGTGCCTCCTTTAAAAATTTATATATTGAATCCTGGGCTCTTAGTACCACAGAATGTGACTATTTAGAGACAGAGTCTTTAAAGAGGTAGCTTAGTTAAAATAAAGACAGTAGGATGGGTGGCTACTAATCCAATATGACTGGTGTCCTAATAAGAAGAGATTATGGCATAGGCACATACAGAAGGAAGACCATGTGAAGACGCAGGGAAAAAGACAGCCATCTACAGGCGGAGGAGAGAGGCCTCAGAAGAAACCAACCTTGCTGACATCAGGATCTTAGTCTTCTAACTTCCAGAATTGTGAGAAAATAAATTTCTGTTGGCTCAGCCGCTCAGTCTGTGGTACTTCATTAAGGCAACTCTAGCAAAACTCTTCCACCTTTGAATGGCTTTTAGTCATCTCTGGGATAAAGCCCACAGGCTCTAAGAAGTTTCTAAGGCTTAGGATGATCTGACTGACTCTTACCTCTGCTGCCTCAGCCTTAGACACTTCCTGCCTCACTCGACTCCTGCCACACTGGCCTCTGTGCAGTTCCACAATCCTCCTCCTTCTTCTGGAGCCTCTGAATGTCCTGTTTCTTCAGCTTGGAATCCTCCTATCTGCTCATGTTACTTACTCACCTAGTCAGTAGCACCATCCTTCAAGTCTCAGCTTAAACATAGCTCCTCCGTAGAGAAGCCATCTGTGTTCCCTTAGACTAGGGAACAAGGGAACCTGTGGTAATTCTGTGGTAATCTCTTTACAGCTTGTATGACACTCCAGTCACTTGGTCAATATATGTCTTCTGTGCAAGATTGTATCCTCCAGGTCTCAGGAACCATTTTTGCTGTGGTATATCTGGTGCTCTATATGTTTTTGAATGAAGCCTCAGAATGAACAGGCTAACAGTAGCCAGGATCATGACCACTCTGGCAGGAAAATGGACAGAACCACTTTGGACACGGTGTAGTAAGATTTTCCTTTATTATCAAAATCCAATTAGGTAGATTTTGTAGCTGAAGTAATTAAGTGGTTACCTTTAGAATCATTTGTTAGTAATTCAACTCAGTTTATGAGGCAAAGGTTATATTTTTATTTTCTCAATCAACTTTAGCAAATGTCCAGAATTGTTGGACCAAATGTATAGTAGGTCTAATTTATTTGGGGATACAGATGAAACAATTCTATGAAGGGCTGATTTTATATTGTTACCTGGAATTTTTGATCTTTACAGAAGGAGCCAATGTGTATAGGAGTTTGAGTCGTACCACAGGACATTTAGCAATGCATATGTTGTTGTGACTGGAAATCGGATTTGCTGCTGCTTTTCATCTCTGCTGCTTACCAGAGGGTGGAAGCCCTTTCAAAGAAGCACTCTAAGGTTTAAAGCTCTTTTCCTGTGCTGTCTGATTGGAGGCGCCAATCTCGTGAGGTGCTAGCCTGCAAGTGCTGAGGGATCACTTTTTGTAGGGTAGCCCATGGCTGCTAGGAGAAATACTTTGTAGCCTATGTGGACCTGGTTTTTGTGGCCTGAAGAGAATGGGTATAACATTGATAACTTGCCAAGAGAAGCCTATTTTATGGTGCTTTTGTGATAAGTACAATGGTGCCATCTATTTGTGACTGATATTTTTTGATGGAGTTGACTGTTTCTGAGTGGGCTGAGGACAAAAAGAGTAATGTAGCTGGGCATCATTTGCACATTTATTTACATGTCAGGGCTTTTGTTCAAATTGTGACTGAAGTCTATTTGTAGAGTCAGGCATAACGAAGTAAACCTCATTGAGATTCACTTCAGGACATATCCAAACAAACAACATCTTCATTCTGAGCCCATCCAAATGCCCGTAATTTGGTAAATTACTCATTCTATTTGAATGCATTAGTCATCATTTATGAATGCCAGTGAAATTGAATGGACTTCCCTCAAAGCTCTATAGAACTTTTCTATCATGCTGCAAATGCCTGGCTTTAATTTCTTTTTTCAAGTCATATTTTTTGTTACATTTTAAATTTTTGGTTCATAAGCCAAATAAGCATCCAAAAAATAAAGAATCATGTTGAAATAGCTACATGCGTCTTCATATAATGACTTTTTTCTTTAGATTTAAGTAGATTAAAGTCATATCACAGTATGTTAAAATGTATAAATCTTCATAATCTTCAGGTTTAATCTTTACTCTTAAGCACTTTGACAATGTTAATAATCTTCAACATAAACAGCTGTCAGAGGAAATAAAATAGAAAGTGTTTTAAGGAAGACAGTACTTCAAGTGCTAACCCTCTTGAATTTTTTTTGGAGTGATGAAAGCTTTTTATTGAGTATATTGATTAATAGCAAAGAAAGGTGGGGAATCTTGAGCAGAAAGACCATACAGATATTATCTGATGGTTTGACATTTTATGCTCTTTTTAAAATTAAATGATTCTAGTAATACAGCAAAGAGGGGAATATGACATTTTGA